CCATTGGATCTGAATCAAGGACGCCGGAGATAGGCACTAAAGTGGACGAGCAATCACACCGCTGGGATGTGACCGCCCAGCCAGCCTGCACCCAATTGGGTGTGTGATAGCTGGTTGGGGGGCCGTACTGACCGAAAGAGCCCCATAGTGTAATGAGGGTATGGAACCTGGTCTCAAAATGGGTCGGAAAGCTACCAGCATTCCGCGCTAGAGAAAGCTTAATCCTAGCGTGTGGGTTCCGGTAGCTTATTTTTATGTTAGACTCTTCCTTGACTTCTTTACATCACTGCTCTGAATACTTTGAACGCATCCAGCTGAATGAATCATCGTAAGATGTACGTGTGCGTAATCCAATTTCAAAGATCTCTTTCTAATCGGTCTATACACAAGCATTCCGATTGTCACTATGTTCACCCCATGACTGAGAGCCCCATACTACTTCCATCGTTCAAATACGAATCACTGCGGTGAAGGTTAGCAAGCATTAGAGTTGCCCGATTACACATGCAGCAACCCGCGCCTTGAGCCCCTCCAACTTTTCGCTCCCATCGGATATTTTTGGCGCCTATATACTGCGTAGCACATTTTCGCATAAGCTGGTCAGTCGATCACAAACAATGGTTTGTTGAGCTTCGTGTGTGGGTCCGATCAAGCACAAACTTGCTTAAAGTGTGAGCTTTTGATCCACAGCCGCTGCGTCTTTCTCCGGAAAAAGTTCTAGACTTGAAGCACACTAGCAGCTGCATTCGCTCATCAAGCATCGACCGCTTGGGTGCCATGACTGGAGTGCGTCCATCACTTGCCTACCTCCTTGACTCATTTCCTCACTATAACAGTGGCCTAACTGATTGAGTTGTGTTTCGTATTGAGAGCCATAAGCACAATATTTCATGTCAAACTTATTCGTCACTTATTTTTTTTCAATTATGGGATGTATGTCTGAGCTCTTAACGTGCTGGTTCCAGTAATGACGTTGGCTGTGCAAAATATGCAATCAAGATTGGTCTCGTAGGTGCTAACGATAATATTTTAACCTAAAGTCGCGTAAATGAACCGCTGCGCATGTCAATCCAAACACTGTTAGGTGCCTGCTTTCACCTTGGTTTGCGTTGCACGATTGAGTTCACAATTTCGAGCTGCAATTCAAGATGTACACTGACGACTGCATCACTCCCAAAAACACTGGCAGGTGATTGCTAAATATCATCGGGCGTATTATATTAAGCACTGAAGGATGCGCTCCACCTTTCTGTTTGATGCTTGATTTCGCATTTGATTTTGCACCGGCTGACTTCTACATGCTGCCACACTGTTAAATTTCACGAATTTGACCCCATAAATTGAAAAGGCGTTCACATCCCATTTGATCCTTGATGTTATTGATCGGTCAAGATATCAATACACCACGCGTCTAGTGCAATTTATTAATGAATGCACGTCATCTTTCTTAATTTGACGGCGCAACATCCACTTGCTTGATTTTCGCACGTGGGACGCCCGTCATCCGTCAAATTTGGCCAGCTGTATGCCAGATTGAAACCCACACGCCGTGTCGTAACAGATGTAGCCGATATGTTGATTAAAGCTCATGAGCTTTTCCTCGAGCACTCTTTCACAGTCTTTCTGCTTTGTTATTCGTCAGTTGCAGTCATGACCGAATGTATTGAATTGTCTACGTCTTGTGTCTCAAGGGTGAGAGCATGGCTGCATATCAATACAGCGAGTACTAATCCCTATCTTTGAGCAGCATGAGTGCCCAATGATTAACATTTTTCCGTATTTTTAAAGATCTATCATACAGCCCAATATTGCGTATGAGCAACGGTGCATCGTAGAAATCAGTCAGCTAAACAACGTACCGCATGCAATCACATGAAGTATTAAACTGTGAGCCATGAACGGTTAATATGTTTTTTTTCTCCAATCTATCATACAGCCCAATATTGCGTATGAGCAACGGTGCATCGTAGAAATCAGTCAG